TGGTCGTAACCCGAAAAGTTCGTAAGCAGAGGCGTTCGTAACCCGAGGTACCACTGTATTTGACTGTCTTATAACACATTTCTTACCAGCTCATACTCAGGAGTGAGGAAAAGGCTGTCCTTATGTGTGAACTTAATTGATCTCAAATTCTAGCATTGCTTGCAGTTCAAAAGAGAACCAATTGAGCATTAGTAATCTATATGTATTAATCCAGAACAGAAATACATTGAGACTTTGGCCAACATGAAGTGTTTTGAGTACAAGCAATTTGTGGAAAATTTGTACTGTACTTTGTTCAAATACAGTATTTTTACTCATTTGTGTTCTTTAGTATTGTAATTTGGGACAGGGAGGTTATTGGTCTAAAGTGCCAATTGTCATTCCAAGATTTGATGCTAAGCTGTTTTTCTGTCCCTTCTCTTTTCATCTTGCTAGATTTACATTTTTTATGGCACTCGGTCAAATGCTGAATTTGTGATCCACAGTGGATTTTTCTTTGATAATAATTCACATGACAGAGTGAAAATAAAACTTGGAGTAAGTAAAAGTGACAGGCTATATGCTATGAAGGCAGAAGTCTTAGCTCGTGCTGGAATCCCAACGTAAGTAAAACTAAGAGAGTCTGCTTTTATCTTAAAATATTGTAAGCGTGAAGGCCCAGTAGAACATTGCTTAATGAACTTTCAGGTATTGTTGATGGAAACTAAGATATCCATCATATAATTATCTTATATTGCATAGTATGCCATGTTTACTTGTTATAAATTTTATTTATATACCCACACACACACACACATTATCTGGGGGCATGGAACATGGGCCAGTTTGTTCTTTTTACTGTTTCCTTCTTTTCAGTAGAAATGTCATGTGATCATAGTATTTTTTTTAACAGTAATGCTGCCAATATCCTTCGTTTTAGAGCAGATTATTGTGTGATATGCAGTCATGGTTTTTGCTTTTTGTTTTGGATTGGATCCCCAACTGAATTGAATAGGATTTATTCTATATGTTTGGTGATTACTGATAGTACTGTATGTTATAGCTCATAGTGAAGCTTGGAAATGAGAGTTGAAACATCTTGGAGACATGCATAATTATGAAGTTCTATAAAATAACTAACATTCTGGAAGAGAATTGTGCAACTTTCATGTGGAAGAGTTTGGAATAGCTTGTTTAATGCTCTGAAATTGAATTGATCCCTTACAATTCTCATTACAAGAATAACAGTATATTATAAATTAAGGCTTTTTATATTAAGTAAGCAAGTCATCATAGACTGACTTATTCTTCATTTTTATTAGTTCCAGTGTTTTTGCTTTGCATTCAACGGAGCCTCCAATCTCTGCTCAACTGCTGGCTTTTCTTAGAGTCTTTTGTATGACTGAAGGTAAAAAAGAACTTCATAAACACTTGCACCTGATTTGTTTTATTATGTGATAGTAAAAAAATGGGATTAAGACAAGTTTAGCCTTCCAAGCATGTTTAAAAAAAAAATGACTAGGCCACTATAGCTTAATAACCCTTTAAAGCAAAGTAAAATCAGTTACCTGCTTAAAAATGCTCTCTCATTTTTTTAAGTGGGAGAACCTGCACAATTGGTGGCTGACTAAATACTTCTTTGCCCCACTGTAGCTGTAGGCCTTCTTCCCAACTGGTCCCCTGTATCCATGTCTGAGAACTCCAAACTTATTGTGTTGTTAACGATTTAGACAGCTTCTGGAGATGATTTGCAGAACTCATAACAAAGCATTCTGATTGGTGGAGACCAGTGCCTTTGCTACTGGAAAATAAATACATATTTATAAATAGATAAAAACACATCAAGCAAGCTAAATAATTTAAATAACTTGGAATTTTCTTCCAGAAATATGCTATTCGGAAGAAATAGACAACAGAAATCAGAACTTGAACACACAGGGCTTCCAGTGTCAGAGTTTGATTTGGTACCAGTTAATTTGTCTGCTTCAGTAAAATTGTTCAGAATGAAGGTGCTGAATCTTCTGCTTTATGTAACTCGGTTTTGTGCTTATATAGACAAAAAAACATTGCAGGCAACTAAGTCTGAGTTTTTACAAGTTATTCTGTGTGTTCCTCTGTGTAACTAATACGCTTCTTAGGTTGAAATTCACCCTTTCCTCTAAGAGGTTTATATGAGAACCTGCCAAGAATTGGCTAAAATTAATTTCCCCAGAAGATTCTTTGGCCTGTTAATTTTAACCTACACATTTGCTTCTCCTTCATATCTAAATTACTGTGGGTTATCAGCTTAATTTTTGACCATGTCGGTGCTTAAGAGAGCCATCCTAGAGATTAAACAATTATTCCTTAGCCTGGATTTGCAGTCGGAAGCAAAGCCCCTTATTTACTGCAATGGCAGCTCCTGTCATCTTTACCTAATTGCATCTATAATATATTTTCTGTTCCTCACAGAAGAACATTAGTTTTCATTAGCTGGACTCAACACTTTGTCCTTAGTGGTCTTGGAGGGAAAGTTCCGCTGTATCACAAGATCACCTGTGCTGTTGTCTCAATGGGGCAGTCACAATCTTGCACTTTTTTTTGGTCATTTTCTGCTCTGTCCCTTTTATCAAACAGAGTGTTCTAAATTAATATCTTCCTGCTTGGGCTGTTCTGATGAGGCAAATACACTGTATTTGTTAGCAGACAAATCTACAGAAATATCTAGAACAATCACCTAATTTTGTCTGAGAGCCATAAATAGGCTTTGGGTTTACCTTTGGCTGATTTATCTCTTCCAGGATGGTTTGCAGTTCTGTTAATTTCCTCTTTTGTCCTTTTCTTTCATTTGTTTTTATCTGATTGTACTTTGTTTAATATTTTGGTCTTTGACTATAAATAAACTAAACATGCCCCCCCCCAATCAGCCATTTTGCCGCAAAATTGTGGCAGTCTGACCTTAGGATGGGGGCGGGGGGGGGAGAGGAGTAAAGAAAGGAACAAATAATTCACATCTCTTTCAAATAGGCTGCAGTCCTTCACAGACTTAGCTGAGGTATGTCACATTAACTCAGAGGAACAGATTCCTTCTGAAACCTTTTGAGACTCGGAGGCTGAAATGGCTTAAGATTTCTGGAGGCATTTATATCTCTTAAAAAGTTCCTATTGGAACAATTTTCCTCATTCTTCTGGAGGGGGAATTTTAACAATTTAAAAAAATGAAATTTCTCTTTCACTTGCTTGTTTTCCTGGTTAAAAGGAAAGAAAAGTCTGCAACATTTTCCATGTAACCCAGAAAAAAGTCTTAGTATCATTGCTCCCTCTACTGATGAAGGAAAAACCTGCACTTTACTTGCTGGGTATTCTTCTCTTACCAATCCCCCTCCCACAAAACTTTATAAATTTTAAAGTAACAAATTAATAAACTTTTAAAATAATAGAATGAAATAAAAATTAAGAAAAATAAAATATAAAAATAATAATTAAGAAAGGAAAGTGGCCTCATCCACTTTTAGAAGACAGCTGTCAGCATGCTCTGCAAAGCATGGTGCAGCCCTCAAGCTGATACAAGTTGTTCAGTTATGTAATAAAGGCAAAATGTATATCATTTTATTTTGGAGCATCAACCTTGAATACAAATTCTTTACTAACAGTCAGCTCTTTAGCCTGGTCGATGGCCAGAATAAGTGGAACATTTGCTGACAATGTTTTATCCTTTGTAGATGAGCTGAAGGAACACTTGATAGGCGAACATGCAATTGACAGAATCTTCACCCTTGGTAATTCAGAATTTCCAGTGAGCTGGGACAATGAGGTGAAACTTTGGACTTTCCTGGAAGCCAGGGCATCTCTTCTCTTGAAAACGTACAAGACTACTATTCCAGTAAGACTTAAAAGAGCATGCAATTTCATACATTTATAAACCTTACTGTTTATCTGATTTAATTCCAAATATTAGTGATATGAGTTTTAAAAGCTTTGCATTCTTGTGATACTTTCCTTTTCCAGAAAGTACTACTGCTTTTCTTCTTCTGTACCTGAGATATCTTTAAATATGTAGTTTCATTTGGGGGGAGGTGTTGCACAATGCCATGTTTTCCTTCATCTTAAATTTAAAGAATAGGGTCTGAATTGATTTGATTCATTATCAAGGAGACAGATGCTTGGTTTCTGCCCATTACTCTTCCTGACAATATGACTGAGCCACTTTACAAGCTACATTTGAAATTTGGGGTCTCTTACTGCTTCTTCCACATTACTGGATGGCAGGGACAGGAAAAGTTCTGAAAACATAGGCTTGATGGCCATTTTTCAGACCCACTCAGGGCATTACCCTGAAGCTTTACCCTGGTCATGTGGAAACACGTCTTTTGAATTCCAGTCATTCCTTTTTTTAGACCTCTCCAAGATTCTGAATGTTATCTTCTCTCTTTAAACACTGTTCCTGTTCTCACTTGTCCAGAACATCTGAACAATGCATCTTCATATGTTGTCTTATATCTTGGCTCTTGGTTTCTCTGTATTCATTCCTAATTGCAATAGAGTCTAAACAAGACAACCACCACATTCGGTTGTGTTTTCCAAATGTCCTCTTTTTGGATGGTAAGGTTCTTGAAGCAGGGACCTGCCTTTTTCTTCATGCTATAAAGCAGAGTTCCTCAACCTTGGCAACTTTAAGACAGGTGGCTGGCTGGGGAATTCTGGGAGTTGAAGTCCACCCGTCTTAAAGTTGCCAAGGTTGAGGAATCCTGCTATAAAGAACCATCTACACTGATGTCATTGCTATGTAAACCTTGTGTCAGGGTGTGTGCTTAAGGTTTAGATAACAGCTTCATGGTTTTTATTCCACTTGTTTCTTTAGGATGACAAATCCATTTTGGAAACACAAGACCTTACCTGTAATGCAACTATGGCTATTAAATTGCGTTTAGGTGAAAAAGAAATTTTGGAAAAAGCAATAAAAAGTGCTGCTGCGAATCGAGAATACTACAGCAAACAAATGGCAGAAGGAGCGCTCCTCCCCAGATATGAAGAAAGTAATGTTGCCTTGCTGGAGAACACTGTGGCAGACTCGAGACTCCCAATTGTCTTGAGAAATTTGGATGAAGAGACAGAGGAGCCACAGGATTTAAAGATTGAGGAAAGCATTGGTGCAGAAGCAAATGGATTTGTGAATGGTGACAGTTCTTTGCTTAATAGGACCAAATTGGAAAATGAAAAGTTAAATCAAGAAGAAAGCAGCAGAGAGACTGAGGATACCAAAGAATCTTCTTCAGACAGTACTGATGAAGTTAAGGAATAGCTCTAAATCGTTCTGATTTTATTGTGAAATGGAAAACTAGCAGGTGTTCTTTTTCTCCTCTTTGAACAGTAATTTACATTGGTGTTTTTCTTAACATTTCTTTCTGCAGAGGAATGGGGGGTGCTTGATAACAAGAAAAAAGAAGTTTAAGTTATTTAAAAGATTTCGCATCCCTTTTCTATTAAGATTGCCATCTTGCTTTTGGAGTCCAGGAATAAGTCAAGAAAAAAGTACCTTTGGAACTTTGTGCAGTCCTTGGTTGAGAAAATACATTTACTTCCTAGGGAAGAGGCCAGCTTCATCTGCTGCTTTTCTGTTCTGTTTACTTTGACTTCTAAAATTCAAAGCTTGTTTTTTGCACCTTGCCCAAGGAAGTGGTAGGATTAGCTTCTGATATAGACTGAAAACAGAACAGAACAGAGAATAGATATCAAAATGGAAAATCTAGGAAAGAGTCAGATATGCTACTCCCTAAAAGGTAAGGTGGCAATCTTATTTTCATTAGGTTTGAAATATCAGTAAGAATACTTATTTTATTCTAATTATAGTGGTTTCTAAGAATGTTGGTTTATTTTGTGGTTGTTTTACTGTATGAGAAGTTTCATTCCCCCTCTTTGCCCCCCCCCTTCCCCTCCCACACAAAAAATCAAAGTTTGCAACTATGGTACATCCTCCACTTTATTTTTAAGGTGTGACCTTTTATTTTGAAATGGCACTGTTGTATTTGGTGAAGAAAAGGTTGGAAGTAGATCATTCAGCCCATGGCTTTAAACTGTGTTGTTCAAAGTGAGATTGCTCCCCACCTTTTTCAGATTTTCAGATAACTAGAGATTTTCAGAGCAACACTTTTGACTAAGAAAATTATTAAAAGTGAAACCTTACTAACGTGTGTCTGCTACTTTTCATTAATGCTGCATGGCTTAACATGCTAAGTTGTACACTAATTCTAAATTTCTGTTTGCAGTTTTAGGGGAGTTAAAGGAGATTTATTTTCAGAAGACTGCTAGACCATACCCAGAATATGCAAATTAGCATGATCCAGAAGAAAAATGGAATTTTTTTGTGGTTCTTAGAATGTTCCATCCATAAAACAATACATTTTCTGCATCCCTAATGTGCAGAAATATTTTTGGCTTTGTGGATCCTTAAAGTCTGTTCTTTTGGAGCACAGTTTAGAGTTTGTGACATCCCATTGACATCCACAAATAAATAGCAGTGTTTAACTGCAGAGATAAGCTGAAACAGTTCTTATTTTTTAAAAGATGTCAAAAATGCTTCTAATTTTGGTGTGTTTTTGATTGCACCCTTATCACTTTATGTTTCAAAAAAGTGTAATTTTTAAGGTCTCAGAATAGGCCAAGCTCTGGAACCCTGAACCAGGGAACATGAAATTGAAACATCCCAACACAAATACATTAAATTTTCATGCATTATTTTTTGAGTTATATTTCTAGCCTGTGCAATTTTAAGTAGAACTAATATTCTCTCCTTAGCTGCTTTGAAAATGGCCTTCAAAGGATATAGGAGCAGTTATATCAAGTCAGCTCATGAAATATTTGCATAGTCTCTGAAATCAGAAGGAATAGAATTGAATCTTTAGTGTATGGGTTTGGGAATTCAGTTATAATGAATATAAATAACTCCATGTATTTTCCTAAGATTAGCAGAAGCCAAAATAAACAAATATATGCAAATTTTTACTTTGTACGAATCATCTTACAGAAACGTTTGTGTGGGATTTTAATATCTTTTATTGTACATTAGCCATGTTTTATTTCACAGTAGCTGATTGGTCTTAGGTAGCATACAAATTAAATATTAAATGTGAAACTATAAGAATAGTATAATAAAACAAAGATTACAAAGCAGAAATTTCATTTTTCCTATGTAAATTACCGCATTTCCCAGTGAAATGCTTGAGTGTTTCAAACAACTGTTTTTTAAAGAAAAACGCTGCCAAAATTAATATAATGCAGCATTTTTCTTATATATTATATATGAATGCAGCACGTTTAGCTTTCTGAAGAGATGGTTCCTTAATAAACTCAGTTATCATGCAATGGCCTCTATTATAAACACCACTCTTTCTGAATTCATAAAGAACATGGTACTACAAGTCAGCTGTTATTACTTGAGAAGATTCATACAGGAGACAATACTGCTATGCAATACTCACCTAGCAAATTTGGAGTTTTATAAGTATTGCCTCTCCCCTTCAGTCAGGCCCAGAAGCCAGTGCAGCTGAGTATGTATTATTTTCATTATTTCTTCATACAGCAATTATCAATGTGGACCAGTATTCTGGTCTATAATTGTGACTTCTGACAGTCTTCAGAGGCAATTCCCAGAGTCACTGGGAGTTGGGCAGCATATACATTTAATAAATTATTATTTTTCCACATGGTGCAATAATTTATTTTCTGAACTGACAGAGCATAGATGATAGAAGCAATATTGTACTGAAAAAGTGATGCAGGTGACATAATTATTTTTCTGGACCAGAACCACTGTTTAGGAGTTTGCTGCATGTTTGATCCTTCAGGGAATCCTATCCAATAGGGGTGAATCCATGTACCTAATAATGATCACCATGCATCATTATTTCTGTTCCATATGGATTTTTTTTTTATATATATATATTATTTTTTTTTTAATGGTGCTAGGAACCAGCCATCTTTTTTATTTTGTGAATCTTTCAGTCTACAGCATCACCCATACAGCAGTTCAAAGCAACCATCCTGTTCTCAGATCTGATAAAGCTGGGCTATTTTGTAATTCTGCTCATATTCCACTCTGAAACTATGGATGATCTGTTCCAGAAAATGAAAAGAATAAGGCGTGACACAGAAATGGTGTCTTTTCTAAACCTATCCAAAGTATCTACCAAATCATAAAGCAACAATTACTGTACACTATACTGTAGTCCTCTAGTTTCCTTTTCTTTAAAATAAAACAGCAAGATCTAATGATTAAGTCTGGGGAAAATGCAACAGATGTCCAGAAGAACTAACTTGGTTACATTCCCCATCCATCTCTACAAGCTGTACATATTAGAGAAGTTTCTCTCCCAGACTCCAGTAAATACATACACATACACACACACACACATACACACACACACACATATATATACATACACACAGACACACACACATATATATATCAAATAAATATGCATTCTTCATATGTCTTCCAAAAGATTGTTTAAGGCTACTTGGTTCAAAAATGGTCTTCTCACCACTGTTAACATGGATAAATAATACTTTTAATTATGCTGGGGGATGTATTCCTTCATAAAGAAAGCACACATCAAACCTATTATAATTTCTCTTAACTTGACTTAATTAGCTAATATAATCAGTAAAGATAAAAACTCCCCAAGTAGAGCTCAACTCCTAATAACTTCTTGGACACATCTATATTATTTCTTGACAGTAATTTGGAACTTCGAAACTAAACAAGGTAGACCAGTTGAGAATTACAGTTTTGATAGTTACTGTCAATAGCAAGCCAATTCTATAATGCTTAAGAAAACTGCATTGATGCAGTCACCAGAACTAGAGTTCAACTAAATGGCATACTGTATTTTCTTGATTACTGGTTTTCAATCTTTAGTATCTTAAGTCCTACCATTCTAATGATCAAGGAACCAGTCATTCTTTGTGAGTCCTACCATTGTGAGTCCTACCATGTTAGAAACAAAAACAAATGTTTCTAGAAGTACATTTATATGTTTACAGGCATTTTATTACACATGTATCATTTATGGTAAGTTTTAAATGCTTACAGTCTTAATGGCTGACCTTGTCTTCCACTTATCTTCTTCTGAGTCCCATTTGTAGTATGTTTACTACCAGTTGAGAACTGGCTGAATCATGCCACGTCCTGCAGTTTTTGCCACAGCACTGGAATATCATGAAATTCATGCAAGTGTTAGAGATACATGGGACATAGACAGATTTTAACTTGGCCAAAACTAAACATTACTACAGCTTTCCCCAATTTGGTGTCTTCCAGATAAGTTGGCATAAATCCAAGAATTCCCAGCCAGCAGAATGCATGTACTCAGGTGTAAGATGAAGGGTGCCAGGTTTATAATCTGTAGGGGACTCAGCAATGTGCAGGAACTACAAAAGAAAAAAAAATATTGTAAATTTAGTCTACAGTGATAGAACCTCAAATTTGAGGTAAAGACAAGTTAGCTTTACTCAAAACTAGCAAGAGCTCCTGTGGAACACATGTTCTGGACATTTCAAAGTAGCCTTCCCATTTTGACATGCTCCAGATACTTTTGTCTACACCTCTAATCATCCCCAATGAGGATTCAAAACAACCAATGAGGAAGAAATACAGGAGTTGTAGTCAAAACACATGGAAAGCTTGTGTAATGTGTGTTTCTAATTTCAGTTGGGGTGGATTGGTCATAATCAGAACATGATTGCAACAATGTATTCATAAAGTGTCTTGCAAACATGAAACAATTTCAGAGATGCAGATCCTAAATAGAGAAATTTTCCCTTGTACAACAGCCAGACCTGAAGTACAGAATAATGCCACTGAGCTAAATGGTGCCTTTATGAATTAGTAACTATACGCTAGTCTCTTTTCTTGGTCCAAAAACAACAAACAATGACTGCTAGATAGGACTTTGCTCAAGACAATTCTACAGTGAAAATCAAAGCTTTTTGGCTGGTGTGGGTCTTCCGGGCTGCGTGGCCATGTTCTGGAAGTTTTGTTTCCTAACGTTTCG